TTATAAGCATAAAATTTTAATACATATACTTTCAAGAGTACATAATATTGAGTTTCAAAAGAAAGGACTTCTACATATGCACTTTTTACTATTTTTTGAGTAAAACAATAAAATAAAAGATTCATAATATTGATAGGATTATTTGTACAAATATTCTCTGTTAAAAGAGAAGATCCACAATGATTTGAAACAATTAGTACTTGCATAGTTCATGGTCTATGTAGACATTAAAATATGCAAACTTTATGTATAAAGGATGGAATATGCTAAAAGAATTATCTAAAATAATATCAAAAAATAACTTCAATGGATGGTTATAGTTATCCTCAATATCATAGAAAGAATGATAGAAGAACTTTCAACATTGGCAATTATGTTATAGACAATTGAGATGTTGTTCTATACAATCCTATTCTTAGAAAAAAAAATATAATTGCCATATCAACATTAAGATTTGTATTTTAGTTTGTATTGTGAAATATATTCAAAAGTATATCTATAAAAGATATGATTGTATAAAATAGAAACTAAAAATGAATTAGATGAGATTAATCAATATATTGATGTATAGTATATTGAAGCTCTAAAGGTAGCATGGCATTTGTTTGGAATGAAAATCTATAAAAATGTTTCAAATGTGGTTTGATTGATTTTACTTCTTAGAATGCATTAAGTAATTTATGACCCAAATGATAATGCAACTGAAGTATTAGCCTATATAAGGCCACAAAAATAACTTTGACAATATTTTTTGAAATACATAAATCTATGAAGATTGCTCAATAATACAAGTATCAAGAATTTCTACAATATTTTGTGTGGAATAAGACCTCAAAGAAGTAGATAAGAAGACAAGATATATTTTTAATTGAAAGGTTATATTTTGCTAATTCTACTCCATGAAAAAAAAATCTATATTTTTTGCTTCTTTTAATTGTGGTTTGTAAATCACATTTATTTGAAGATCTATATATTATAAATAGAATTCTCCAATCAAATTTTAAAAATTTATGCTTGGAAATAGGATTTTTAGAATATGACAAAGAGTAGAATCAATACTTAAAAGAAGCCTTTGTAATGAAAAAAATAAAAGAAATTAAGAATATTATATTTTATTATTCTTTTTAATGTTTATTTCCACATCTAAAAGAACTACATGATAAGTTTAAAGATTTTTTTTTTTAATGATGTGGATTATCAATTGAATCAAAATTATGGAATTGAAAGGCAAATAGAAAGAAAGATATTAGATTATGGATTATTTTTTCTTTATGATTTTTTTTAAAAATCAAGCAAAATACTTGCTGATTTTTTATTGATGCAGTTGTGGGAAAGGAATTAGAATGAAAATGCTACAAATTGAATATTTACAAAGCATATAGCATGGAATCATGAGGGTCTAAAACAAATAGTAGAAAGACATGTGTTAAAGTTGAATGATGAAAAAAACACCATATATTTGAATATCCTTGCTTTTGTAGATAATAATCTAAAAATATAAATCTTAGTAATAAAAATATATATTTTGTGGAAGAATCAGCAAAAAGTGAAAAAATATTTATCTACAATACATTTTATTGAAGCAATCAATAGAACTCTCTAAAACATAAATAGTACTAAGGATTATTTGAAGGAATTTATATAGTCTTTGGTAGAGATTTTTAGCAAATTCTTTTTGTTATTATTAAAATCTTTAAAAAAACAATTGTTGATACTTCTTTGCAACCATCAAAGATTTGATCAAATATTAAAGTGTAGAAGTTGATCAAATATATGCATCTAAAAGGTATATTTGATAAGAATCAATTATTTATTGAAGAACTTTTAAAGGTGTGCATTACAAAAGAGTATAACTTTTTAGAATTTTTTATGATACAATATTTTTTTTTAATATATCTAAGACTGGTTTCCATTAGTAGATTAGAAATGAATCAATAATTATACATCCATTGAAAAATATTATTATTCTTTTAGAATATATAAAAATAAATTCAACATCAAATGATTTTATTCAAGTTGTCTATATGGGATTGAATGAAGCTAGGACATTTGGAGATGAATACTTCACTAAAAGGTCTATTTTAATAGCACAAAATTATGATGTTGATAATGTAAATAAGCATGCTATTAAGAGGATTCTTGGATTTTCACATAATTATTTTAACGTAGATATAGAATTATAAAAGATGGTATTGATAATAATAACTATTATCTAATAAATTATTTTAATAACTTAAGTCTATTTGGATTTCTACCATTTAATTTAGAGCTTAAAGTTGGATGTTCTATTATGTTATTGCAAAATATTTCTTTGTGTCACAAACTTTGCAATGAATCATGCTTGGTCATTATCCAATTGAATGATCAAGTTAAAGATGTAAGTCTTTTATCTAGAGACTACTAAATAGTTTTGGCTTTTCTTCTAATGATCACATTATGTCCATCATCTACAAAGATTTTTTTCAAGTTGCAATAAAGACATTTTCCAACAAAGGTAGGATTTGCAATGACCATTAAAAAATCTCAAAATTTCAACAACAATTGCTGGAGAAAATAGGAATAGATCTTAGAATCCTTATATTTCCACATAAATAGTTATATATTGCCTTTTCACAATACAATTCTCCAAATATAATCAAGATAATCTATCTTAAAAATAATACAGATAAAATATCTCTATAATTGTATTTTTTAAAAATTTAGATATTTTAATTTTTTAATAAATAAAAATTATATTTTATAATTATAATAAAAGAACATAAATGATTATATTACTATATATATATATATATATTTCAATATTTCTTTAAAAATGGTCAATTTTTGACTTATCAACCACAATTTAAATTTTTATATAATTTTTTGGTCAATAATATAAGTAATTAAAAATATAAATATATTTATATTTATATAAAATTTATATTTACTTAAAATATTTTTAATTATATTTAAAAATATATATTTTTTTACTTTTATTATATCAAATTATTAGATTCTACATAAAAGATATTATAGTTGTTGTTATAATTACCACCTTTAAAAAGATTCACATTAATATTACTAATAATCATAATCATAATAATAATAATAATAATAATAATAATAATAATAATAAAATAAATATATAAAGACATACCTTATGTGATTTATAATCTTTATAAATAAATAAATTATAAAAAATCGAAGTTTTATAATTTACATGAAATCATCAAATTTTATAATTATAAATTTTTAGATCAATATTATATTGGATTTGTTACCAAGACAACAATGCTTGAGCTTTTATGCCATTTCTATCTCTTATGCCTTAACTTTCATCCTTCTTCTCTCTTCTCTCCATTGCGTGTTGGTGCTATACAATCTTATTGTGCCAAGTTCAATTTTGCCGTTGCTATCATCTTTTTCTATTGATACACCATTCTTATTGTGCCATCTCTTACTTTCTCTCAATTGCAAATTTGGTGCTTTATTTTATAATTGAGATATACAATGTTTGTTGGTGAAGTGGTGGATCATGCATGTTTATCAATTTAAAAAGTTGTGGTCCCTTTTGAAAAGGATTGAGATAGCTTTTGTATTAACAAAATTAAATAATTTACATAATTAAAGAAGTGCAGTGTTGCATGCTTGGTTGACATTATATGGTTGCTTTATATATATCTAATGGATTTTTAGTCTTTCACAAAGTGTTATTGTATTTTGTGATGTCTAACAACCAAGTTAATTTATGGTGCTTTTCATAATATATATATATATATATATATATATATATAGAGAGAGAGAGAGAGAGAGAGAGAGAGAGAAGTATGAGATCTTATTTTTAGCCTCTAAATTTATTTTTTGAAAAAAGAGTAGGAGAAGCATGTGAATTAGTTGCTCAAATTGCCCCTCACATATATATGTTGTAGAAAAAAGATTATTATAAATATTAGAATTGTCAAATTTTTGAAGAATTTTTTATTTTTCCTTATTAATTAATAAATAAGGATTATAAAGAGTATATCTTTATTCTTTGAAGTTTTTTCATACAAAATTTGAAGGAGTTTCTTGCATTATATTATTTAGCTTTGCATCTTCAAAAATTAGCATAAAAACTATAAGTTAACAAAAAAAATTAGAAATTCAAAAAGATGCACAAATTATTGAAAGAAGACATTGATCCAAGATTAAAAAAAACATCATAAATCACGTTGTTTTGTCTTTAGTCATATGCAAAATGTAAAATTGGCTTAAATGAGCTCAAAAAGAATTAAGTTGCAATAATAATTTGCATGAGCTCTCCACTTGTAACATTGTTAAATTTAACCATTGCATAAGTAGCCTTAAAAATGACAATTTTTACTTTATATTATAAAAAACTTAAAAAATAATAATAGAATGACCTATCTATAGTTGTAATATTTGGATCTAAATCAACAATTACCTAGCAATACATAAAATTAAACCATCTTGTTTGAAATTACATATTTTTGCTACTGATTTAATATAAATTAAAGATAGTTCACTTTATATAAAGAGATAAAAATAAATTAATAAAAAAATACATATTATATCAAAATATCTTAAAGTGAAATATGATGCTTTACAATCTTGAATTAATAATTTTTTTACAATAGTTTGTGCATGTGTATATGTGTTTTTATTACTTATTTATTTTATTTTTATTGTTACTTCATAACTTGAATTCTGAAATAGCACTGAAATGCGAGGAAGTTTGGATGTATAAATGAACAGAAAACGGATGAATTAATCAACGGACGACGAGGAGGCCTTAACCCAGCGATGCCACGAAGTCATCCAAGTGGGGGGGAGCTATGGCCGTGTGAACGCGTACGGAAAGTATCATGACTGGGGGAGTGGATGCACGCGTGGAAAGGACAGTCGGACTGCCACGGCAGCAAGCAAGAATCAGTGGGGCACCCTATCAAAGGGCGGAGTCGATGGAAGGTTGTCGACGATGGAGCGGGGTCTTGGGAGGGCGGATCTTGAGGCTGGGCTGGGTTACGTAGGACCGTCGGTCCGCATTACTAGGGCAGCGTCGTCTCGCTTCGCAACAACGGGAACAGAGTCCATTTCAGTCAGCCAGTCAGTCAGTCACTGTTAGGACTGAGAGAGCGATTGTAAACGAGATTGAAGCCGAGGCAGGTTGACACACACCTGACTAGGGCAGTGTAACTTACTTACTCTTCCTCTGCCACGTCCTTGGCAGGTTACACATATATCTGTATAGCAATACCATCCACATCCGCCTGCGTCGTCAACGACGGTGAACATCGACCCAGCTGCAGCAGCAGCAGCTGCAGAAAGACGAGGAGGAGGAGCAACTGGCATCTTGTGACGATTGTTAGGATTGGAGTGGATTGTGTGCTTGATCAACTGCGTTGGAGAGCAGTTGAGCAGCTGTAAGATTTGGAGGGGGTGAGAGAAAGAGAGGAGTGTGAAGGGACGAGGTCGGAGTTAGGGTTGGGGGTGGATTAGCCCGGGGTGCAGGTGGTTGCGTTGCGTGAGAAACGATATCTATTTCATGCTGATGCAAGAAAGGGTAGATTGTAGCACGATCCATGGCACGAGCCGCAGGTAGCAACACAAAGTTTGCATCTGTGAACTTGAACAAGAGCTATGGCAAGTCTACGACTGGGGCTGGAGGCAGCGGGAACGGTTCAGGGGCCGGGAGTGGAGCCCTGGGGAGCGCAGGGCGGGCCGCGCGGAACTCCTCGCATGGAGGGATGTTGCTGCTCTCGCGCCCCGGGGTAGCCACTTCGGTGCAGAAAGGGAAGGTCATCGTTCCACGCCCGGTTAATCTGCCATCGCTTCGACGGGAGCATGCTGGAAACGATCCCACCATTGCGCTTGTTGGCGGTTCTGGTGCTTCAGGATGGACCAAAGCGTCGTTGCACGAAGACCAGTCGCCTGCCGCTGCTGCTGCCACTTCCGAGACTTCTACGGGTAGGTTCGTTCAACGTATACACATGTTATGACATTCTACCTCGGTTTCTATGATTGGACCGCCATCCGTGTACATGTGAGATTGATTGATCTATCCACTGAATAGTTCTCCCTCTCTCTCGCTCTCTCTCCCCTTCTCCTTTGGTGAGTTGGTTTCTTTGTTTGAAATATTTAAAGTTTATTTGTATTTTTTTTGTAATACTGATGGCGGTGGTGATTGGTTAGGCTAAATTCGTTTTTTTTCTTTTTTGGGAGGTCCTTCCTATTTTAAAAGCGGTCTCAAAGTCTGGGATTTCCCGAAGGCGTTTTGGGTGAGAGTATGAAGCGCAATGTGTCCCGAAGTCGATGAAGTTTTGGTTCTTGTTTCGCACAAAGATTTGTTTGAAGATATTTCTGACGTATTCCGCAGCTAGCTTGGGGACACGGCTGGTTTACTACAACTTGGAGATTAGAGGAAGTGAGAAGAGTTTTTATTGGTTTTTTGAAATAAATTCATTTAACTTCAACTTACTCACGGATCAACAGAATGGTTCTGTCATCTATTTACCTATTTCGGTTCTTACACCGGTCAATCGGTGTCTGCACGATAGAAGAATAACTGAAGTCTGTGTCATATGGTTTGCTTGCAGGCGTGCTTCAATTAGTGGTAGTTGACATTAATTTACATTCAGGCTTGGGGATGTGTTAACGATAAGCATTATTGAGTTAGAGAGATCAATAAGAGGTGGTACTGGCCGTGGGTTGAAATCCTAAGCTCAGTTCACGAATTGGTTGTCTTCGTATGCTTTCTTTCGACATTGTGATGATTTTGCACGGCTTTGGCTTATTGACACGTTGAACGAACAATGGATGGTTCAATGAGAATAAGGCCACGGGTGTTTGTGGTGATGCTTCGATCGCAGTTTTTGCTGTGTTACAGTTTTGGGACTTCAGGCATTAAACTTCTCCATTTTGAACTTTTTATGAAAAGACAATAGGGGCTCCACTTAATATTATTGAGGGTTTTTGATTTCAGGAATTGCAAGGATTGGTCCAGCATTGAGTGTCGCATCAACTTGGGGGACTTCACCTTCTCTGTCAGGTCAACCTTCGTCAGTATCCCTGAGCGGAGAACACTGGGTAGCGCCTACACAAGCCGAAGCCTCTGGAACCAATTCAAGTGTTGCGGGAAGGCATGGCGTGTACACTCCACCCCGTGCGCGTGCAATGCTAAGTCCTACTGTGGCGAGTGGTCATGTGGTACCTGCCGTTGAAAAGGCTGTAGTGTTGAGGGGAGAAGATTTCCCCACCCTGCAAGCCGCTTTGCCTCCTCTTCCAATCCCTAGCCAGCAAAAACAGAAGGATTTGCATCAAAAACAGAGGGAAAAACAACAAGAACTTAAAGCTCAGCAACACAAATTGCAACTTCTGTCTGAGCAGCACCCAGTTTTAAAGCCTGGCGAGGTCTCTCAGTTTCCTGCTGGAGGTGGGTCTTTGTTATGGTTTGCGACCATGTTCGATCTCAATATGTTACTTAACAGTCACAAATTATCGATGTTCGATTGCAAGGCTTGGGAAACCAGTTTAGAATTTTTCAAGCTTGGGACTTTTCTAATGAAGCTGGTTACGAGCTTGGGAGGCCGTTGGGTTTCACTTTTCAAATGACGCCTTTTTCTATCAACGTTTCTGTTGGAAGTTCTATGACCTTTTCTGTTTGTTTCAACAATTTCTCGATTTATATTTCGTATTTGTCCTTCTACCTACTTGATTTCTCATTTGAAGTCTTTTGCAGGTCCTCAGCTGCATCCTATTCAGTCATCATCAGTGCAAATGAAGAGTGAGCAGAGCCTCAAGGATGCAGCAGAGGAGCATCAATTACTGGAGCAAGTTTGCTTTATTGACTCAGGAACGTCTGCCCGGTCCACTTCGAAAGCTGGTAGTTCCTCATTGGAACCTGCAACATCTGGGCCTTCTCAACCACGTCAGTCAAATTGGACAGACGATGAGAGGGACTCTAACTTTAGTGTACAATGTGGCAATTCTTTTGAATTGAGTGATCGATCAGATCGAGAGTCTGATCTGCAGTCTGCGAATCGTGCCGGGGAGGTTTTTGGATATGGTCGGTCCCGATCCTCCAGAGAAATGGCTTCTACTCCAGGGATAGATGGTCACATCGGCAAAGTTGCTGAGGGCCGAGGGAACATGGTTGGCGGTGACAATTTGTTTGGGCGTGAGTCGTCGAGTACCGGACATCACGCAGATAATAGCTTTTATCGGGGTAAAAATATTGTTAGAGAAGGAGGGTTTCGGGAAAGGGAAGGGGGAGTGAACAGGGAACTTGGTTTTGGTGGTCGAGGATTCAGCCGAGAAGGAAATAGGGACGTCGGATCCAGCAAAAGAAGTGCGTATGAAAAGGATGGAGGTGATGGACGACCCAGCAGTAGGGGTTGGGATGGCTTCGATGAGCGACACGGTTTTGGGAATCGGGACCAGGGACTTCTTCGAGATGCGAGCTTGGGTCGGGTTGGTGGCTTAAATAGGGAGATCTTTTTTGGTAGAGACAGCAGACGCATCCAAAGTGGAGATAGCGATGCTAGCCGGGGTCGATTTGGCGGCGATCGTTTTCCAAGAAATGGTGCTTCGGGCGACTTTATAAATGGGAGAGGTTTCATTGGTCAGGACTCTGCTGAGAGAGATAAGCGATCACATGAAGGGCATCGTTTTAATGTTTCTTATGAGCGAAGTTTTGAAGAGATTCACGGCTTGGACAACTTTCGACCGTCTCAGGGGGTTGGAATAGATCCTCCCGTGATTCCAATGCTTGGTTTCCGTAAGAAGAAGGAGGAGGTGAAAGAGATCGACTTTCGAGATGAGGAAAGAGAGGCTTTTGAAGCTGAGCTGGAGAGAGTACAAAAGGCTCAGGAACTTGATCGATTGCGTAAGTTGGAGGAAAAAGAGCACGCTGTTGAGATGGCCCAGAAGGAACTAGAAGATCGTGAAAGACAAGCGAGGGAGGAAGAAGAAAGACAGGTGATCAGTATTCTAGATTTCACGCACTCGTATGTAATGTTAAGCCAATTGTGCATAACTGTTGTGACTTGAGGAGTTCTGATATTTTTGCGTAAATTTATCTTCGGATATGTTGTGTTGGGTTGTGGACTGCACCAACTTTTAAAAGCGTTGTAATTCTTACCTGTGGTCTAGCTCTTCTTTGGACTTGTGAAGTTTGATAAAGGTGTTCTTGATGTGGTCAATATGATTTCGGTCTTTTAAGCTACTTTAAGCGTGAGCTTCTAAGTTTAATTAAGAAAGTGTAAATCTGCGTTCAAAATGTTATTTTCTAGAATTTTTACATGGATTAGCTTTCACAGGCTAAAATGGAGGAGGAAGCGAGAGAAGCATCTGCCAGAGCTGAGCGGGAAGCCTTAGAGGTAGCTCAGAAGGTAGAGGATGAGCGGAGGGCTTGGGATGAAGAAAAACGGCAGTTGCAACTTGAAGAGGAGCGAAGGAAGGAGAATGCTCGTCGTAAATTGTTGGAATTGGAAGAGCGTATTGCTAAACGAGAAGCTGAGAAGAAGCTGCAGGAGGAATCCAGGTCTTACACTATTGCACAAGTCTCTGGTGGTTTTTGGCATAGGCTGCTTTTGCTTCCTTTCAAAAGATGCGATTGTAGTAAACTATTACCTGCTAGTAATAGAGCTTTACTCAGTTAGAATCGATGAATATTTTCTATTTATGTAAACATCAAGTTTCTAATGTCTCGTGGAAAAGCATTGTAATCTCAAAATTCGGTATTGGAGTTATTGTCGTGTTTGCGAAGTAAGTTAAGATCCAATGCTGGTTGAGCTGCAGCTTATGCCCCATTTTAATTTTTAAGAGCAATGCCAGCAACAATGAATAATACAGTCATCCCTAGCACTCTAGAGAAGTGTAAATGGTTTAGGAAACTAATGCAACTAATGCTATTGTTTTTTATTTTCTGGAAGTTTAACGACAAATGTATTTGTTTACCTGATCAGACAAATTGTGGAGGAAAAGCCTGTACATGTGTGGCAGAGAGGAGAAGAGGACCTTCGACGGCGGGAAGATGATGAGAGAGAAGTGGAAGAGAGGATGGTTGTGAATAACACTGGGAATTCTCAGGATGATGATGACCGAGCTGCCCTGCGGCCCTCAGTTACACTTTCCTACTCTCAGGTGTCTCAGCGGGCGTTTCAGAATGAAAATCTTCCTGTCAAGCCTTCGGAAGTGCAGGCCCCACCTGCAGGGTTAATATCTCGTGTCGCTGAATCTCGTGGCAATAACTCGGTAACTGAAAATGAGCGTAAAACCTTCATGCACTGGCGGAAGGAGCAGTCTTCAGACAGTGTAGTTGGATCCGCAGTGCAGATGTTTTCTCCTTATGGCAGGAATGAAAATACTGATTTCCAAGCTTCAATTTCTCGTGATCGGGCCTGTAATGGTCGAGATTACGGAGATAGAGGAGAGAATTCTTACACTGGGGCCCCCAGTACTGCTGGGCTTGCAACAGAGGGAAGCTCTGGAGAATCTGTTAGAAGACCTCATTCCAATGATGAAGGACGGCAAACCGAGGAGCCTGTGTTCTTTAGTAAACAGACATATTACAACCGGGCCTCTACGTCGGGTTTTGAGAGTGGACCCTTAGAGGATTTTGAGGCCAGAGATGAACGTCGATGGGGTAGGGATAGGATGGATCGGTGGCGGCGTGGACGAGAGGGTGTTGGTCAAAGACCATCTCCTCCTCAAACTCCACCTTATTTCCAGGGCTCGGACCCAACAGAACCTTCCTCCTATTGTCGTCTTCGTCATTCTTTGTCGAGGCAGCCTCGTGTTCCCCCTCCACCAGTCCGAATGGGTGCTGTGCGACCAGCTCCTAGATTTTCTAGCCTGCAGATCGTTGTAGCAAGTTCAGAAGCTGAGGAAGAAGATATCAAAGATGTGCTTACACAACAGGAGAGAGCTGTAGGGAGCAGTTCTAAATTTTCTAGTCAAGATGTTAACGATGATCAGCACGCTAAAATATCTAGTGTGAAGAACTCTGATTTAGAATTGCGACAAAAAGATGCCCCTGAGCAACAGAGTAAGCCCTGGAGTTCGACCCAGAGGGACTGGGAGCAGTTTTCAACTTCCTCCCTCGGTCTACAATGCTCTTTATCTCAGGTAACCAATGATAACAAGCATACTCTTTTCTTTCTCTACTCAAGTTATTTCATTTTGGTATTCAGTTTTCCATTGGAAGTCTTACAAAGATTGGGTCACCCAGGTGTCTCCAGGTCACTCACATGAGGATTCGAATGTGCAACTCTTTTCTCCATCACCAGGGAGAAATGATAATAACCGAAATGGAGGTTCGTCTTGTTCCAGTCAATCACAGTCAGACGGCGATTATGAGCAAAGAGATTCAGGAGCATCTTTTGTTGTTTCAAAAGTTGGCCAACAAGAGATGCTTGTAACACCTGATGGTCTAAGCGGTGATCGGGAAGATTACACGATTTCAACTGATGTAAGTTACGCCTATGTAGCTATTTTGCTTACATGTACTAGCACTCCCCGACTATTATTGTATGCACTATCTTCGGTGTTTTTTTCTTTTTCTTTTTCTTTTCTTTCTTTCCCCTAACGTAACAATGTAGCATCTGGTTACTGCTGATGATACACAAAATAATATATTCTGGTTATCGGATCTGTTTCTTATAGATTCATTATAGGATGTCAGAACTTGGGCTTTGTGTGCCATACCTTATCTCTAAGTGAAGCAATTTGTGTACTTGGAAGCGGCAACGAGAGTTTCTGACACTCTAGCTGTGTTGTAATTTGATTGATATTCTTATTGCTTGCTTACCCGTGTCCATGTGTTGACACAGGATGGGGAAGGCGAGGATGAAAACCAAGAGCGTTATGAGGAGGGTTATGAGGCTTTTGAGGGTTATGATGAAGATGAAGATGTTGATAATGTGGATGACGAAGATGAGGACGATGAGCTAGATCACGGGACAGGCAGGGCTGATGTTCTTGAGGCTACTGAAAATAGACAACATAATGAGCAGAACATTGATGATGCTATTACAGAGCAAGATGCAGCCGAAGAGCTCGCCAATTCTACACAACTACAGGTAGAGAGTATCTCTCACATCTTTGGTATTTGTGATCTATATTAATGTTGGTCTTAATCTCTCTTTTGAAATTCACCTCATTTTGTAGTACTCTTCTGCGTTGCTACAGGATCTCTTGGTTGCCTCTGGCGCCTACTATGTTCTGTTAGTTTTGATACATATTCTCTGCAGTTTCTTACATTAGTTACCTATCATGTGCCATCAGATGACTGAGGAAATGAGGAACAGACATCTGCCACATGAAGAGAATGGGCAAATAAACTTGAGACCTTCAGTTGCTGGGTTAGTCGAAGAGTCTGATTCCTGTGATGCCCAACAAGCATCTGTACAACAATTGCAACTGCCTCTTTCTTTCATGGCGTTCCCAACCTCACAAAAAACTGTCGCACCAAGTTCCTCTTCGCAGCCTGCTTCTGTTGGGGTACCTGGTCTCATCCATTCTTCAGAAGTTTCCATGACTTTACACTTCGGGTTCCTTCCTGGCACAGCACTTCCTCAGGGATCAGTTCCTGCGATCCAGATTGGTTCAATCCAGACGCCACTTCACGTTCCTCTTCACAGTACTCTTCATCAGGTTCCTCATTCTTCTTCCGCACCTCCTTTAATCCAGTTTGGACAGCTTGCCCATTCATCTTCAGTATTGCAGTCGACACCTGCATTTAGTCAGTCCAATGAGTCGACACAAGTGCAAGAGCAAATTTCACAAGCCGTTTCTACATCTAAGGTTAGTTTGTAACCTCTTTTCCGTCTATTCTATAATGCTATGGTTCTAATTAGATTGTGGTTATTCGTTGTACCTATTGTCAGCATCACGATAATGTGTGTGGTTTGATTGTCAGCATCAACTAATTGCTGCTGATCATTGTGCAATCTTAGGATTTTTCGAATATAAATTAAGGATTAATTTTTACCAAGTCGGCTGTGCCCTTTTTGAATCTACTTTGTGATTTATGTGCTTGTGTGATGTATCTGTGCATGTAGGTATTGCAAGAGGAAGACATTGTTGATCTAATATCTGCAGCAGATCAAGGACAGCCTAGAAAGGATTCTGTCTCGCTTCAACTCCAGTCACCTTGGATGAATCAGTCTGTTTCTTTAGACGTCAAACCTCCAGTAGAAGTAGAAACTAGGGAGAACAGGCTCACTACTGGAAAACCAGGCCAGCGGTCCGAAAGGAGAGTGCGTGATAGAGGTGTGATTCATGAAGGTTCAAGCAGCACAGCTGGTCCAGAATCCTACTCACGCCTTAAGAGTTCCCGCCGAGATGCGGGTAAATTTCCTTTTTCTGGAAGTTCTTTTCCTCAAAGCACTTATGAAACTGCAGGTATCTTTACTGGAACAATTGCATCTAATGGAAGTAGTGATGGAGCAGCTCTTCGACCGCGTTCTTATCGACGTAGTAATTTCCGTCGAACTGACCTTAAAAGTAGTGACTTTGCCGAGCAATTATCCGATGTTGCTGGAGGAAAGTTTTCAAAGCAAATAACGAATACTTCATTCGAGATTTTGGACATGCCAATAGGTACTACTGATGGTAGACTTAGTTCCAGGGATGTTACTTCACAATTGCAAGGAAGCAACTACTCTGGAGATAATAGTCGGAAATCCCGGGTTTTGTCTGAAGGCGCGTCCTCATCACGATCTGAACGGGTGAGTGCTACTAATCCTTTGATAAAGAATGGTGGAAAACTCTTAGGTTACTCTGAAATAATTCCTCTCGAGAGCTTACTTGGAAAACAAGCCTCTGGATCAACATCAGATGCACCTTTACAAAGTGGTGAAGTGCATGTGTTCAAGCAGCCTGGTATTGAGCGTGGGGATGAAGATGATTTTATCGAAGTAAGGTCCAAGCGGCAGATGTTAAGTGATCGCCGTGCAGAACGTGAGAAAGAGATAAAATCCAAGTCGAACTTGAAGGTGTGTACGATTACAAAGTTTTGCTTAATTACTCTATTGAGATGGATTACCCATGTGCTGCTGTTACGATTTTCTTAGGTGATTTGTTATAAATGTTTTGGTTTTGTTTGCCCGACCTATCGTAAGTGGTTTGCGTTGTGTTCTATGCTTGCACGTTGTGCTGCATGTGTGATAACTTGACAACTTGATAATTTATTACAGGCGAAGGAACATGCAGCAAGGAAGCAAAGGGGTGTTGCAAAGTTGGAAACACAAATGGAAGCAGCATCCGGGCAGGGAACGAAATCTGGATCATTTGTAGAAAAGCGCACCATCGCAGAAAATACCGGCACTACTACCCGGATACCTCATTCCGGAACCACTCCATCACCAACTGTTGCGTCATTGACTACAGTAGCTGGAAATTCTCAGGGTCTTCCACTTGCTCCTATTGGCACTCCGTCTGGTGGATTACCTGATATACGTCCTAACCTGTCCAAGTAAGTAAATCATACTTCAAGTCTATTTGTTCTAACAGTGGTCAGCTGAAGTATTATCATTTATACTTCTTGAAAATTGGTTAAAACTATTTTCTTAGTTTTGTTTTTCGTCTTTGACGTTGACGTTCTATGTATTTTTTGTATTCTTGTTGACTGATGAGCTTAGGAGGCTGACATTCTGTTGGACTTTAGGTCCTCGCGATCAAATTCTGGTTCAGGAGGTAGTTTAATCGATTGTGAGACTGGCGCAGCAACAGCCTCTTGTGATAATCAAAATCAACACCAGGAGGGTATGTCTGGCACTCCGATTGCCTGGGGCGGGACTCAATCCACTAGACAGGTTCTTACCTTGCAACCCATATCTTAGATTTACCCGATTCTGTAGAAAAAATATTTGTACTTTTGTTCACTATGTTAAAACAACTAAATGAGTTGTGTTTTTGATAGTTCATGTTTTTGGTGTATACATGTGGGTGGACATGTACCGTTTATATGTGAATGGGTATAGTTTATAGGATATCTAACTGTTGTGACCGCGTTTGACCGCAATACGCCTTCGTTTAAAAAATTATACTCATTTCAGTTCCAACCTGCAGGTGGTGAGCCTAACTCAGATTCAACTAGAAGAAGCTATGAAACCAGCTCGCTACGGGGCTCCCGTCGCACAGAAATTACCCGTAGATGCCCGAGGCAGCATGGTTCTGGATTCAGGAACAACTGTAGCATCCATGGCGGCCAAGGAAAAAATATCCGGTTTTGTAACAGGACCAGTTGGCTCACTTCTTGCTGGAGACAAAATCCAGTTTGGTAGGAATAGGCACATTTTTGTGTTTTATGGTTTGCACTCTTCTATGGTTGTGGCGCAAGATTCAGCATGGAAATCAATGAACTTGGATAATACTTAAACTATCACATGTGTCTTCACTCTTCAAATCATGATATTATTTTTGAGGTCAGGTCAGATACATTTCGTCTTTAGACACCGTGTGTAGAATGTAAGTACTTAAGATCTTTCATATTTGTCTATTCTTTGAGGATGGAAATATCGGATTTGTGCACGTGCAGTGACATCACCACCTCTTGGGGTATCCAACAGTCGTCCCCATACACCTGCTCTCATTAGCGCAGTGGGTTCCACTCTAGGGTCACATGTTAACGGTGCGTCCGAGAAGAGCGATTTGAAGAAATCTAATCATATGTCTAGCTCTGAACATGATATGCCCTCATTTTCTATCGAAGGTCAGCTCCTTATATGTGCACAATCTCGATTTTATTTTTGACTCATAATAGATGAACTAGCAAGTTTCTTACTTAAATATGCAAAGCAATCGGGGGATCTGGATCTGTATTCATGTTTTACAGATAACTTTATTCCGGCTTTCTTACTTTGATTGTGTCAAATATATCAGTTAAGCGTACACGTGGACACGAGGACAACGCAGGAAACACAGATGGGGTCATTGATGCTGAGGCTGAGGCTGAGGCTGAAGCAGCTGCATCAGCTGTGGCTGTGGCTGCTATTAGCAGTGACGAATCATTTTGCAGTACCCGTGAGCCGATTGCGATTAGGAAAAGCACGATAATCAGATCGTTTGGCAGTGGGGCCTCCACAACTAACCATGCTGGTACCTGTTCTATCCCACGGATATTCCAGTCACATGAGCCGTGATATTGACTGGGTAATGTTCCATAATATGCTTATGTGGTGACAGTAGTTTGAAGGTTATGAACTTAGTAAATGTTTGCGTATGTCTTCATGTATACGCTCTTCTCTAACCTTGTTATCGAAATACAGGTATGGGGCTAGGAAATTCTATTCCCGTTCGCATGCAGAGTCCAATAGTGGAAGACTCAATGGCTGCTGCTCTTCCTGCTGACCTCTCCGTTGAACCCACCTCAATTTCTATTAGAGGATCATCAGGACAGGGTTCAAGTGTTCTTTCAACTTCTGTCCAAACTTCTTTCTCTGGTTTGGAGATGAGCAAAATGCTAGGTTTTCCATTTGGACCCAGCAAGGATGCTGCCGTTCTGCCAGGCTCCAATGACCAGGGTGTTCCAAGTGCTAGCGCTAGCGCTAGTGGTTGGCAACTACAGCACTCAGGCGTTGATTCTTTCTACGGAGGTGGTCCTCCCTCTGGATTTCCTGGCCAGTATATTAATCCTGGTGCAGGCATGCCTCCCCATATGCTGGTGTACTCTAATCCGTTTTCTTCAGTTGGACAATTTGGGCAGCTTGGTTTTATGGGTCCAACATATCTTCCATCAGGCAAGCTCTTAGTAACATTCAGAGTCATATTGCACTTTTGAAGGATCTTTTCGTGCTCATTCGTAATCAGATGTATTTTTAAGATAGAATTTAGTAACTTTCTGTCTCTATCATGGTTTTGCTAATGGGTTTGCATGATTAATTTGGGTTGTGTCTATAGGTTTAAAATCTAGGATTGAAATCGTCTTGAATGTTTGTGGAATTAGAAGCTTTTTGTATATATATAGATGAGGTTGAGTTTTTATTAACCTGTGGGTTGGCATATTATTCGGTTTGTCAGGTAAGCAACCCGATTGGAAACATACTCCTGTTTGGTCATCAAGCCCAGGTGTTGTTAGCATGAACAGCAACGATAGCCTCGGCGGCATAGCCGGTACGCAGCGCGGGTCTGGAAATACTCAACGAATGGCTCCTGGTCCAGCTGTGGTGCCAGTTGTACAGTCACCAGGACCGTTTGACTTGAATCTATCTGCTCCGTTCCAGGTAATCAATGATGGAATATTTATTTTATTATTTCTAATGCATGTTGTGTGCCACGGCAATTGGGGGTTGCAACTTATCCTTAAGCTGTCGTAATGATATAGCTCCTTGGTGAACCTTCTACAGCTTACGCGATTTTATGTTGTGTTTTCAGAACACTCCATGCACTTCATGTTCATCTTTCCGTATGAGCTTATTTGAAGTGCTTGGGTCTCCTTCGCAGATTCCGAACGTGGACAGTTCTACTGGCTGGTCGCATGTACCAGGTCAAATGCATGTACCCATATCTATGGGCTACTTGCAGCAGGGAAGACGAGGGTCCTCTAACTCATTGGAAAAGGATGAAAGTTTCAATCTAGGTCGAAGTTCCAACCAAGTGAATGATGGAAATTTTACGTCCATGGATGCAGCTGCTCAATTTCCAGATGAGCTTGGATTGGGTGATACATCCTCCGTTCCCAGTATTACCTCTGCTTATGGGTCCTCTCAGAATCTGGGTCGAAGTTTTATTTGCAACCAAGCTGCACCTATTTCATCATCAGATCAGAGTATGAACTCTGTACCTTTACTTACAGTCTGTTGAGAGGTTGTTGGTTGTTGTGAAATGGTCAGAATTCACTTCGGGGGATTTGGAGTAATTTTTGTAAGGATAAGCGTACACTTAACACATGGAAGGCGTCTAACCATGATATATATTGAAACAGGTAATAATAAGTTACGTAGTAATCGCCGTTCATCCAGGGTGACCCGAGGAGGTAACCTAACGACTATGAGAAATGGCAATAACATTGGTTCAGACGACTTCGGGATGGGTGTTAATTCTGGAGCCTACAATAATGCTGGGGCGAATGGTAGCCGGGCTCCACACAATCATCTACAACCTCAATCTCCACGTCATCTATACCAAGCAATGGGTGGCGTAGGACAATACCATGCCCATCATATTAACAGCCATTCTGATCAAAGAGGTTCCTCGCAACAGAATTCCCCTCGGGTTGGGTCCAGCAATTGGTTAGGACCTCATCGCAAATGGGTTGGAAATCAAGCACGCCCACCTGTTGAACGTGGGTCTTCTGGGGAAAAGATATTTGCACCTCCTGCAAAGTTGAAACAGGTCCATAATCTTCTATTTGACTAACATGTTGCTCGTTGAATTGTTGTTATTTCTATTCCTGCTTGGTAAATATTTTGATCAGACCGAACCGTGTGAATCGTTCTCACCACTTTTGAAATTCTGGAACAGGTTTATGTTGCAAAACCCACGTCATCTCCAAGGAGGATCAGTGGTGAAACTGCCATATTTAACGACACAGAAGGAGGTCAAGCAACTGTTCGATCAACTTCGGACCACGACTTATTGTCTTGATTGTGCTCATTCCTTTTTCAAGGAGCTTAGTACAGGAGGGGATGTAACTCTTTACACTCAGAACTACAGGCGGCCTCCCTCTCAAATTTCAACTCATGCTCACTAATTCTCTTGGATATTTACCTATGTCTTCCAAATTATTGGCACTGAACTTTAATATCTCTCATAGCCAGAGAATCAGCTAGATTTATCCCGCTTGTACTTTGAATGACTTTCTTTAGGTTCAGCTTAAGTGAAGATTTTGTGTGTGCCGTTCTTCCCAAGCCTTTAGGAAGCAATCTCTAGTTTCGGATTGCTCAAGCTGGTAATGTAGGCAGGGCAGTTGGATCCGCACATGCAAAGCGCAATGTCCAACAGGACCTCTGGGAGCTCTCGCTAGTTTTCCGATGGAATATTGGTGCATCGATTTTGTAATGTAACACATTTTGTAGGCTATTAAAAGTTTAGATTGTTAAGTGCAGTTGGATTTTGCGGACATAAAAATCACCGTGAAGTAGTTCTGGTTCGAATTCTTATCTCACCTGGTTCATTTTACAATATTTTTCTTGTACTATCTAGTCTGCTAGCATTCTCTGGTATTGAAGCATTTCAATTCATCTTATCATAAAACTGCTTATTTAACGTGGTGCGAACAATTTGTAATAGTGAATTTGGTGGAAAGAGTCATGGTTATTGGAGCTTGCTTTACAAATCAAGTGTAATTAGTTCACATACCCCCATATCAAGTCATTCATAATTGCTACAGTGGCACCCCAAATGTGAAGGTAACATTTCAGGGTTCATGTATCTCTACTGGGGTGTAAGTCGTGATTGTTTCAACATTGCTTTCGTAACTCATTTGGATTTGTACAGTTTTTCATTCCCATCCAGATTCTCCCAGTCAAGACTTCATTCCTAGAAAAACAAAGATGAAAGGGAATGTGGGTGAATGTTTGTGCTGCTTTTCATCTTATATTATATGTAAGTTTCAATGGTAACTCAATACCATAATTAATATCAAGAGCATTTTTTTTCTTTTTGTAAGAAAATTGACTTGTGCTTAAAGAATCCTTTTATTTTCAAGCTTCAAAACCAAATGTATAAAATATGCTATTTTCTTTTTTATAATTTTAATCAACAAGAGAATTTACACACATATATAACTCATGTTTGTTATAATGCCTTAAATATGGAAAGCACATAACATTCCATGCCATTCTATTATAAGATTGTCTTTAAATGATTTTCTACAAATGCATATTTAGAATATATTTTGGATATTAATTCTATTAGTTGTCTTTTCAAAAAATTATTTTATTAAATTCTAATCATGTTATCTTAATTCTTGATTTTAAAACATCTTCAAGATAATTGCAAGAACTATTTTATTAAACTATCTATCTAATGTGTAGACAATTGATCTAAGAATATCCAATACCTATTCCAATACAAAACACAAGAATCTACAAACCCTATTTATGTCATCTCATCTTCTTGCTGTGGTTGCAAATTTAGATTCAATGCTATTGATAAGTTATTAATATGTTTTCTACAATATAACTTCACAAATTTAACCTTCAAGTATAGATCCTCCAAACAAAGTTTTTACATGTTTTTGAATTCAAGAATAACTTGTAATCTATAGATAGAAGGATAGCAATTCCATTGCAAGAAAAGATAGTTCAAGAATATCTATAATTTCTAATAAGAAATCAATATGAATTCACAACTATTATAATAGTAGTTGTTCCAACTCTCTCTAGAATAATAGATTCATAATAATATCTAGGATTTATGTTGGTTGAACCATCATCTTTTTCTAGATAAAAATCTTTTACTTTAGCATCTATCCTCTTGAAGGATTGATGTTGTAGGAATGAAGCTTGATTACGAATGAATAGCATTATATACAACATCATTGCTTAAGTAAATACTAAAAACCTAACTAGTAATAATTTAAATGAGTTTTTTGAAAATAACATAGAACAATCCATTCTAAGAAAGATGAATAAATAAAACTATAATATAATAAAGATTTGATAAGATAGTTATCTTCATCAAACACCTAATACTTATCCTAATCTAATATGATTTAGGTTATATCCTAATCATACTAATATATAAAAATAATTCGACACTCCATTTTGAAATAAAGCAAATCAAAGAGAATGGAAGGAAAAATACAAGAGAGAAATAGAATGATAATATGAGAGGTAGTGAACAAAGAAATAAGAGAATAAGCACTTGATGTAGTACAAAAATTATATGAAAAAAGTTGTAGTAATGTTGACTATCCAAAAATTATGTAAAATGACTCCTTGGATATTTTTTTTAAAAAAATATTCATTTTGTTTTATTTATATTTAGCTAAAGCATAGAACTTTTTTAGAAAAAAACAAAGAATATATTGCAAATACCAATGTTGTTTCTAAATTTTGAAATTATGATGCTTTTAAAGGCTTTATATACATATTTATAAGTAAATATTCTATTGGCATATAGAGTTTTACTTTTCTTTTAATGATGCGTTCTTGGATAAAATGGTATTTCTCTTCTATGCACATTGTTATAACATGAAAGGTGAAATTTTTGCCAATTTGATAGCTCTTTCATTATTAAAGCAAAGGTGAAGGTTAAGAATGGTATTAACATATCTTGTAGTTTAATTTAAATATATTATTTTATTCTTATAATTAAGTGCTGCTTGAATTTTAAGAATTAATTGAGGTTCCTTTAAAAGATAACAATTAAAGACCTCTTTTTTAGTTCCCTTCTAAAAAAGTCTTGTATTTTGCATTATTGATAATCTCAAATATTATTACCTTTCATTTGCTAGACCATGAGATTAGTCTAGATGCTAAGGTAAATACATAAGTACTAAAATGACGTTTAGTATCAAGAAAACTTAGATAATCAAAATTGGTGAAACTTTGAAGTTTAATATATGAACAATAAGTTTGCTAATAGTGAATGCCAAGATTAATAGAGTATTTAAAGTCATAGAGTATATATTGCATTGATTTCTAATATTATTCTTATTAATGTATAAAGATCTTGTTAATGATTCTTATTGCACACAAAGCATCTATTTGTGTATTAGTTAAGAAAATTAATCTCTCTACAATGTGACAATAAGCTATATCATTCATAAGAAAAGTGTTTTTGTTTTAATTTTTAAAAGATGTCTTTTAAGCAAAGGTGTCAACTATGCAATTACTTAGTCTAATCTAGTATCAACAAATAATTTATTACAATAATTCTTTTGATTTACAAACATGCTTTTAGTAGTTTATGAAAATTATATCTTTAGATGTTTTAAAAGTGATCCTAAAACTTTTATCTTATATATAATTTTTAGTTGATTCTTCATTTTCTTGGTTCTATTAAAGAAATTTATCATCACCAATAAATTATCTATATAAAGCATAATTATAATAACAATATTAAACTATCCAATAAAATAAAGGTTTGAATCTATGCTATTTCTTATCTATTTGGAGTTATATAAATAACTATCAATTTCTTGATACTATACTATTAAAAGTTGTTTAAGTCTATTTATAGATCTTTGAAGTTTATATACTAGATTTTTTAAAAAAAAATTCAAAATATAGAAATTTTTTTTAGGTAAATAAATTTTTAAAGTTTACCATTCAAAAATGTTGCTATAACATCAATATGTTCTAGATCTCATTAGAAAGCTATGCAAAGACCAATTATAGTTTTGGTAGTAGTCCATTTAAAAATAAGTGTAAAGGTTTTGTCATAGTCTAGTCCTTCAATGTGGTCCAAAATTCTTGCAATTGGATACGTTTTTGGCCATTTATAGATAAGATTTATTTCATGCTTTAGCTTGCAGATTCTTTTAAAAAAGTGTATTTTTTTATCTTTAGATAGTTGAATGAACTTTCATTTATAATTTTTCATCAATAATCTAATTCCATCTTTTATAGATAGTCTCCTCTTTAATTGTTGAATGATATCCTTGAATTTGGTCTCTTTATAGTTTTGATTAGTGGTATTGATAATAAATATATTATTATCTTTAATTATGCTTAAGTTATAGTGATGCAAATAAAATGATATGTACTTAGTATAAAATTACCTCTATATTAGTGCTATAAAATAATTTTGGTTGTACATCTTATGGTTGTACAACATGTAGTGTCAATATGTTTTTATTTGGTTTTTCTTACTCTACATTATTTTCTACTAACTTATTGTGTTTATAATTAAGTCTTAGCTCTATTCTTTATTTTTAGTCAAGTCCATCAAATTAAGAAGTATTATCAATTAAAGAGTTAAAAAAATGTGGTATATTAAGAACATACATATCATAATTTTAAATACAATCTTTAATAAAAGTTATGTCTATGCTAATAAAAATCCTTTTATGCTGAAGATCATAACAACAATATCTTTTTCTATACTCATTATATTGTGTTTGGAATTTAGAACAAAAATTTGAAAGAATAAAGACATGAGATGTATACTTAAGAATTCTAAAATGGGCAACCATTGACTTTAGTCCATAGATGGACTAATAGGAATAGAAAGATAGAAGGTAGTAATACTATAATAGTTAATGATGTGGTTTAAAGCTTAAATTATTTTAGTTTATAAATCCAAAAAAAAAAAAAAAAAAAATCTAAAAAATGCTCTATGCTACTTCTAAAAGAGTTTAATTTTTTCTATTTTCCATTTTTTTTTAATGTTGAGTATACAAAATAATAAATTTTTGAGAATGCTTCAATTAAAAAAGAATTTTTAAAATTTTTTTATTATTTATCATTCTTATTTATTAAATCCCATATAAGAAGTTATTAAAGAGAGTTCTTTTTCAATTTTATGCATAAAATATTAAAACATTAAGAAGGAAATACTTTTTTAGAGATACTAAAGTATCCAAGTATATCTAAAAAAATTACCTATGATTTAAAAAATATATATATTCAGCTAAAAATAAAAAGTAAATTTGACTACATAGATTTGTACGAAACAACCAAAAGATCTAATTTTTCTAATAGAAATATGCTTATGAATTTGGTGAAAATATTATTTTGTAAAAATACATGTGATAAATCTTTTCTTTATTGTTGCAAATATTCATAGACCAAAGATTTTTTTTTGTTGAGACACATGATGTATTTTTAGAAATTTATATAAAATGAATATTGATGATTTAGATTAAGAATATTGATCTAAATCATATATAAGTTTTATATATGCTAAGATATGTTTGTTTTATTTCTTTATCATATGATTAATTGCAACTAAATCTAAAATCAATCTTTTCTAGTATTATTTAATTTAATAAAATTAAAATATCTAATTATATTTTTATTGATGTAATCATCTCTATAGTCTTTTTGGTCTTCAAAGTTAGTAATTTTTGCCAAATATACTTAAAACTTGCTTCTGTATAGGGTAGTTGTTGAAATCTATAACTAAGAGGTGTTTTCATAACTTTACTTTAGATGACAATTTGACTCTGATTGTTTATTACAACCACATTAATTAAAGTTTTTAAATTACCTTTTTTGACCAAAAGATGGTTTGGAGTTTAAGGTG